TGAAACTCCAATTTCACTTGCACCTATTCCTTATGAATTTATTGCTTAAAAATTAAATAAATATGTTTTGAAAAGATCATTATTGTTTTCTATATTAATTCTATATAAATATAATATTAGTTTTTTGAGCATTCTTTAAATATAGCTTTAAACATAAGGTTACACAGGGTGTATCACCTAAGTTTATCACATGTAGGAGACATTTTTACGAAATTTTAATTACAATGGAAATATTTCAGGTGATAAAGTTAGGTGGTACACCCTGTATATTAACTCTTTGAGGATTATTTTTTTTACACTATGTAAAGTGTGTGTGACCATTATAAGCTGGTACCTCAAGGGTTACTATACATATACATACAAAACAGTAAAATATGAAAACAATGATTTTTACATACATAGAGAATCTATTAGTATGTTCAACTTTTCTAAGTTGATCTAATGATCTAAAATTAAAATAAAGTATTTCTTGGACTAGCTTCTCATAAATCCGAAATAAATAATTCTTACATAAATCGCAATTATTTTGTTGAGAAAAGAATTTTTTTAAGGTGTTACATTAATGAATAGTCTCTGAAACCAATAACTTTTTCTATATTTTACAAACAAAATATAATTGAATCTATTTATACATATTTTTATCAATAATCTAATGTATAATATTCCTAATTTTATACACTATATTTCAATAAAATACGGAATTATATAGAATTTGTTTAATTTAATTACTATACGTTTATATTAAGTTCTAATTACAATCTATTGATTGGTAGAATAGGATGTAACCAGTTTCTGAATTCTTTTGGATATCTGAGGTAAGTCCATAAAAATCTTCTATCGTAGATGCATCAATTTTCTGGAATACAAATTTAATTTTTACATATATATGTATATATACAGGCTATAATAAATTAGACATCTGTATAAAAGAACAAAATTGATCTCGAGATCTCCTCTATGCCTCCACCTGTAAAGGAACTATTACCACTATGTTATGTCTTTCTTGCAACCATACAAGTTTTGTAATAAATGTTTTTGCTTATTACTTTAAATAATGGAGATATTTGAGGTAAACAGAGTTGGTGGGACTTTCTGTACACACATGCGCGCGCGCACACACAAATATGAATTGCATACAAGAATGAGGCGTTCTCATAAAATAATTATTTATAACATAAATTTGAAACTTACATCAACCATATCATCATCAAAAAGCAACCAAAATCCATGACTTTTAACTATGGAAATGTAGTGCCCTCGATTAGGCCCAGTTCCACAATGTATCACAACTGCTACCAAATCGTACAATCGATCTGGATTCACCGCATCATCACTCTATAAATTATCATATAGGTAAGAATAGATAAATAAATATTTCGAAAATTGTAATAACCAGTTAAATATATAGCAAATATATGTAAAATACTTACAGTATTAAAGAGTCGAAGCTCCAAAGGAAAAACTACCCTGTGAGAAACCTTTATGTGACGATTATATTGCTCCACGTACTTAAATCTTTTTAAGTGTAATGCTAGAATCATTGGCAATTTTTTAACTCTCATTCGTTTCTAGAGTGAAAGAAAGGTATTTTTAAATATAAATTCTTTTTTAAATTATAATAATTTTACAATTTACTTTATAAATACCTGAGCTTCTTGATAACTGCTACAGTGATCACATTTGAATTTGTTATCACTACAAAGTGTCTCAGTATCTGAGAAACATCTGAGGCAGTGCGTGATTGAAGTATTTTGATCTACATCAACTTGTAAATCAAAAAAGTCTTCATCTTTGCTAGATACAGTCTCACAATTAAGGCAGCGTGTTTCTGATGTTAGAATTCCTTGAAATATTTCATGAACCCATGTGGGTTCAGGAGGAGAACCAGCATCTCCTGCACCACATTTTCCTCCAGCTGGTTTGCTTTGACTTCTCTCTGCTAAAATGTAACATATAAAAATTACTTTTATAAGGATGTATTATTGCATACATGTATGTATGTACACATATTCACAGAAATTTGCATACCCAAAATGATCTCATTTATGTGATTTATTAAGAAATTTAGAAACTCATGTGCATCTTGTTGCATATAGTTATCAAATTCCTCTGTAAAAAATTGTATACATACATTATACATACCATGTATAAACACTTTTAATATTTAATGATAGATAAAATATATTATCTCAACTACAAAAAATTAATAACTATATTTATACAAACCCTTTTCTTTTCTTAACCTAGCAATAAACTTTTTTGGAGCTATAGATCCAACTTTCTTTTTTTGAGTTGCAATACTGTAAAATAAGTCCGCTAAGCATGTTAATAATGTTTCCTTAGTTCTTTTATTTCTAGCTTTATATTCTAAA